TAAGATCAGTAAAATGTTTATGGGGAATCACGAAAAGCTGTAGAATAATAATGTTATATAAAACGAGATGGAAAAATGGAGATTTAGACGTGACATGCATGTCACTGGCTCAGTAATGTGGCTCAGTAAGGAATCATTTACAGAAAGAAATAGCTTGATTCCAAATAAAATAATATGGTTTTATTGATTAAGATAAGTGTATATTTTTACAAAGCTCTGCTATTTTTTTTTAGAATTTCAATAATTACATAATCAATATTATCTTGACTTAAGTTTGAAATTATTGATGCAGAAAACCTTTTTATACTTCCTATTCTTTCTTTACCAATACTAACAAATAGATCATATATTTTTCCTGCTCTTTCCTTTCTTTTTTTCAATGCATCATTGGCAATATCATTGGGAAGTTGTTTTCAGATCTCATCATTAACAAGAGCCAGACACGCACATTCCCCATGCTTCAAATTTTTCTGTAATGATCAAAACGTTTTTTTACGGCTACACCAAAGTTGTAATAACATTTTAACTTCCCTATTTGCAATTATATGTCTAGATTCAGCATGTAAAATTTTTCTATAGTGATATAAAAAATTATTGGCATTCTCACTGACTTCTATTACTTCCTCAGGACTTTCGGGTGCAGTAGTTAATAGTTCTTCAATAAGTTTTTTCAACATAGGAGAGTCTTCTTTCTTCTTTACCAGTTTCTTAGCTTTTTTACTGGAGGGCTTATCAGCAGATGTAGGATTCCCAACATGCTTGGATGGTAAGATGTTTGCAGATGATGTATTAGTGATTGTATCGGGATTAGTGGTAGCAGTAGTGACAAAATATTGTTATTAAATAAATAGGAATTGTTTTCTACCAACTAAATTATATAAAGAAAATGTTAACTACATCACTGGCTTAAATCTAAAAACAAAAAAAAACTTACATTTTTAATTGCCACTTGACATCTTATTATGGAGTTTGTACAGTCAAATGCTGTTGTCCAACGAGTTTTTACATGTTGTTTTAAACCCCCACCTATTATCCGATTATTAATAATTTCCTCTCTCAAGTTTTCACCAGCAGCATGTGAATTAGTAAAAAATTTGACAATTTTTCTACATTCTTTAATTAATTTTGATGACCATTCTAATTTCATAATATCATTAGTTAAGAGATTGATGTGGTGCGCAATGAATCGCATTGGTATTATATGAGGATATTGTTCAGGAATTAATTTTTTTGCTAAAACTATATTTGCAGCATGGTCAGAGACCACAGCAGAAAATTTATTCACACCCACTTCATTAAGAACTCGTGATATTTCAGTACATAAGAAGTTTCCAGTGTGTGAATCTTTTGAAAATTTCTTTAAAGAGTGTACATACTCTTTTCTATCTGATGTCATAATTACAAAAATATATAATGATTGTCCTGCTGGAGAAGTCCAACCATCCAAACCTGATTTATTTTAAATTTTAGTCAAATTTTTAAAATTATTGATAAAATAAATAAATAAATAAATAAATAAATAAATACCTAATGTAAGATTAACCTCATTAACAAGGCCATTGTTAATTTTTGAAATTACTTTTGCACATTCTAAATTAACAAATGTAGTAGACAATGTGGTTCTTTTAGGAAGATGAAAACCAGGACATAAATTAGTAATAAAATCTACAAAGAATGGGTTTTCAACAACCCAAAATGGAATTCCACAACAAACAAAAAATTTTGTTAAAGCATATGAACATCTAAGTTGTTTTTCATTTGTAATTGTTTTTTTCTCAAGATGATCAAAAATTTTTGTTTGTTTTTGTTTTTTTTTTGAATTATTATTTACATCATCATCATCCTCACTAATCTCATCATTTTGCAATACATTTTGAAACTTTATACGTATATCAGGTGGTGGAGGTTTAGTGCATGACAATGCAATATGAGATATCATATCAGAACTTTTCCCACGAGCCCATTGTTGACCACAGTAATTACATTTTGCACCAGGTCGTTTATTATTGTTATTATTGTTAGAGCTACCAATTTCAGTAAAATGTTGCCAAATTGGTTTTCTTGGTCTACCAATTTTTCTTCTTAAATGATTATTAGTTTGTAATGAAGTCAATTCATCATTGTTATTCATCTAATTATAAAAACAATTAATATACACATAACAGGTACCACTGGATAAATAAGAATCAACAAAGATAATATTTACTTTGATTTTAAATAATTGAGTTGGTTTTGTTATATTGATTAACTAATGGGTGGACCTTGGGATATTAATTATTCATTTAAAATTTTATGTGTGAGAAAAAATAAAAACTACATTTTTACTGAGCATGCCTGTATGCATGATGTTTAACTATCCAAATTTCTCTAAACTTAAAAAGTAAAATAAAATAATAATTTGTTTGACTATAATGTTTAGACTATTTCTTATTTATTTACATAAATTGTTACATTTATCATGATTTAATTATATGTAATTTATTACACAGATATTTGATAGTGTTAGGTATTCAAATATATAAAAATTATTTGACATGCTAATTTTGTTAGTCAAAATACCCTAATTCCGAACCAAATCTTTTATTTCTTTTTACTTTATTTACTTTATTTTTATATCTACATTTATTTATTCCTTATATTTTATTTCTTATTTTATTTTTATTCATATTTACTTACATTTTTATTATTTTTATTTGTATTACATTTTTATTTTTATTTGTATAATGTTAAAATTAGTTGGCTTTATTTAGAAATTAGCATCATGGTTATAATGTTATGTCGTGATATCGTGGCTAGAATGTTAGATTGCTCAAATTCGACTTGCTTGTAAAATAACTTTGTCTTAAAGTTTTATAATAAAATTAACTTAGAAATAAGTTAATAAATTAGTTTTGACTAAATAAAACATTTTTCTTAAATCACTAAACCAAAATTATTTGCTAATAAAACTAATTCATTAGTAGCCAATTCATTCTGATCCACATAATCTTAAATTTTATATTGTTATCATCAATTAACACACTCTCCCAAACAATAATTGGTGACAATATCATTTTGATTTCATACAAAGTAATTTGGAATGTACAAATTAATTTGGGATTTGGGAATTCTTCAATAGGCTTTCCAAATTTAATTTGTACATTTGGGATGCCATAATCCCAAATAATTTAGGATTTGGGCGGCATCTATAGTATTACAGATGCTGGAGTGACGGGTTATGCAAAGAACAGGGGTCAGCCAGATATTCCTAGAAAATTTAGATCTATGGAAAAGAATCAAGAACGAGCCAAAGAATTACTAACCTGGATACAGAATGCTATATCTTCTGGTCAAATGGGTAATCCAGGTAAGCCAGGAGTTAAATGGGTCAATAGATTCTTAAAAGATTATGATTTAATTCCCAAATACTTATAAAAATGGGTGCTGTTTATGGTGTCATAGTACATGAGGCCAAGAATATAGCTCATGCTTATACCATTGCCGGAGAATGTCTACGACACAATCCTGACAACCATACTTCTCCAGTACAGAATTATGTTGTAGTAAATTATCGGAAAAAAGGAC